CATAATTATCTAAAATTCCTTGTAAATTATAAATTAAACCCAATTTTACTTGAAAACACTGATGTCAATATTCCGCTCAGCATGATAAATGAATATATAATTAATAACTGTAAATACATGTAAGAACTTTTCCATTCCCAGCTGCTGACATTCAATAAGTAAATGTAGGTCGGCAGTGGCAGATTTAAAAGTCCTTTCTCCTTCCTTATGCCTGCTACCCCTTTTGGGGCATAGGCCGCAGACAAGATTCCTCCAGGCCCCTCTATCCTGAGCAGTGCTTTCAACCTCCTTCCAGTTCTTGCCCATTCTTTTAACGTCTGCCTCTAGATCTCTCCGCCAGGTGTTCTTTGGCCTACCTCTCCTACGTTTTCCTTGGGGGTTCCAAGATAGGGCTTGCCTTGTGATGTTATTGTTGGGCTTGAGTAGAGTATGCCCTATCCACCTCCACCTTCTCTGCATTATTTCCTCTTCTATAGGGGCTTGGTTTGTTCTTTGCCACAAATTGATGTTGCTGATTTTGTCGGGCCATCTGATCTGGAGGATGCGTCTCAGACAAGAGTTGACAAATGTCTGGATCCTGTTTGTTGTGGTAACGGTCATCCTCCATGTCTCAGAACCATATAGAAGCACTGCCTTAACATTGCTGTTAAAAAGCCTAACTTTGGTGCGTGTTGTAATTCCCTTGGTCTTCCAGATGTTTCCAAGCTGGAGGAATGCTACTCTGGCTTTTCCTATTCTTGCTTTTATGTCTGATTCGGTTCCTACTTGTTGGTCCACTATACTGCCAAGGTAGGTGAAATGTTCTACTTCCTCTATTTTCTTTCCTTCTATATTTAATGAAGCATGTGATCGTGTGTTTGCTCTTAGGATCTTTGTTTTTGCAATATTGATGTTGAGTCCTATCTGTGCTGATGTTTCTGCCACAGTTGTAATTTTCTCCTGCATTTGTGCCCGGGTATGTGATAGGAGTGCCAAATCATCCGCAAAGTCTAGGTCATCTAACTGTGACCATGGTGTCCACTGTATTCCATTTCTCCTATTGTCCGTGGATGATTTCATTATCCAGTCTATTGCAAGAAGAAATAGAAAGGGTGACAGTAGACATCCCTGACGAACTCCTGTTTTTACTTCGAATGGTTCCGTCAGTTGTCCTCCATGTATGACCCTGCATGTCAGGTGTTCATAAGAGTTGCAGATGATATTTACCAGTTTACAAGGAAATCCATAATGTCGCAGAAGTTTCCATATTGTCTCCCTGTCAACACTGTCAAAGGCTTTCTTGTAATCTATGAAGCCTACATAGAGGGAGGAGTTCCATTCAGCACATTGTTCAATGATAATGCGCAACGTTGCTATCTGGTCCGTACAAGATCTATTTTTACGAAATCCAGCTTGTTGGTCACGTAGCTTATCATCCACTTCTTCTTTCATTCTGTTCAGTATGATCCTATTAAATACCTTCCCTGGAACATCTAACAGTGTTATTCCCCTATAGTTGGCACAATCGCTGAGGTCTCCTTTTCTTGGAAGCTTGATGAGGTATCCTTCTTTCCATTCTTCTGGGATTGTTTCTACCTCCCATATTTTTTGAAAAAGTGGGTGAAGTATGTTGGCTGAGTTTTCAAAATCAGCTTTAAGTGCCTCGGCCGGGATATTATCAGCCCTGCTGACTTGCCATTCCTCATCTGTTTTAAGGCTATTTTTATTTCCTCCTTAGTAGGTGGTCCCCAGTCTATGTCTAGGTCCTCATCTGCTGGTGTAATATTAGGAGGAATGGGTGGAACTGGCCTATTCAACAATTCTTCAAAATGCTCTTTCCATCTCCTTCTTTGTTCTTCTTCCCCTTCTAGTTGCTTCCCTGCCTTGTCTTTCACTGGCCTTTCTTGTTTACTTCGCTTCCCAGCTAGTTTCTTGGTGATGTCATACAAGTCTTTCATGTTTCCTGCTTTTGCAGCTTGTTCTGTTTCCGTTGTTTGTTCCTCCATGTACCTTCTTTTGTCAGCTTTAATACTTTGTTTAGTTCTCTTGTTGGCCTCTGCATACTCTTTTTGTGCTTTTGCTTTTTCAGCTCTTGTTCTGCTTGAATTGACCTCAGCCTTCTTAGCCTTCCTCTCCTGTACTTTCCTATGTGTGTCATTTGTGATCCACTCTTTATGATGGTACTTTTTCACTCCAAGTATTTCATGGCAGCTTGTTGTGATGGTCTCTTTTATCCCTTTCCAATGGTCTTCAACTGTTGTTACTTCCCCTATTTCCTGAAGGGCTTGGTATTTGTTTTTAACCGCAATCTTATACTCCTGTAAGATTTGGGTATCTTGGAGAAACCTGGTGTTATATCTGATTCTCTGAGAGTTTCCTTCTGTTTTCATTTTTCTGAGCTTCAGTTTGATGCTGCCTGTCAATAGACGGTGATCTGAGGCTACATCTGCTGCTCGTTTGACCCTGGTATCCTGCAAAGATCTTCTAAACTTTTTATTGATGCTTATATGATCTATCTGGTTTTCAGTTAATTGGTCTGGTGATACCCAGGTGGCTTTGTGTATTCTTTTGTGCTGGAATAAAGTGCCACCAATAACTAGTTTGTTGGATGCACAAAAGTTTGCTAATCTTTCACCATTTTCTTTCATTTGTCCCAGTCCATGTTGTCCCATAATCTCGCCATATCCGGTGTTATCATTTCCAATTTTTGCGTTAAGGTCTCCCATCATGATGGTAACATCTCTTTCTCTACAGGTGTCAATAACACTTTGAAGTCTGTTGTAGAACTCATCTTTTGCTTCTTCCTCTGCATCATTTGTTGGGGCATAGCACTGGATAATGTTTGTGCTAATCCGTTTATGTTTTGTTTTAAAAGATGCCCTTATAATCCTTGGTCCATGTGCTTCCCAGCCTATTAATGCTTCCCTTGCTGTTTTGGATAGCATGAGTGCCACTCCTTGAGAGTGCAGTGAATTTTCTTCTTCATGTCCAGAATAGAGGAGTAATTCACCTGTAGTAAGTCTGCACTGTCCTGATTGAATCCATCTTGTCTCACCTTTGCCGAGCAGTGTCAGATTGTAATTTCTCATCTCTGCTGCAATTTGCGCTGTTTTCCCTGCTTCATACATGGTTCTTACGTTCCAAGTTCCTATATTGATATTTCTGGGTCCGAGAAGGGTTTTCGGCCTTGTAGTTTCCTTCTGTCTCTGGTTTTCACCACATGGCGTCCTTGGTCTTCCTTTTGGAGAACCTTCTCTTCCAGAATTTGAGAAGTCTTGATTAAATTTTGTATGCGTTTCTGTAGCAATTGCCTTTCTACATGGTGGGTTGCTAACCCTGCGCAAAACCCCTTGGACCCAGAGGACCAGTGGTTTTCTGTTGGGGTTTTCCTTCCCCTAGTCACAGATTCCAGTTATCTAAAGGCGCTGGAGACTCGCCTCTTGCCACTGTCACTCAGCTACCTAAGTATTTCCAGGGCCACCAACGGGAAGGTGTGACATGTGACTTGCTGGCAGAACCTATTTGAGATGGTAGGCATTAACTCGAAGTTTTGATAGAGTAACTTAGTGACATCAGTTACACCCCTCGAGACCTTCACCAGCCTTTGACCCCAGATTTAAAAGTATTTGGTCATATATAAAACACTTCCTGATTATGCAATAAAACACTAGAATCCTTTCTGACATAATTCATTTTGTCAAATAAAAATCTGCAACAAGTGACAAGGATAACAAGTTTTGAAAAGAAATGTTCAAATGGTGACAACTATACATGTAAGACAAGCTTCAAATTTCCTTCCCCCCCCCCCCCCAAAAAAAAAGTTAGCTATTGTCTTGTGACATTCATGAATCCCAGACATATATAAATTGAAAACGAATAAAACATACTTAAGAAAGCTGATGATTTTCAATAAAAATGTTAAAAATAATCTTTTCTTAAGTCAAATAAAGTCAATGTCCACTATGAAAGAAAGAGACGCTCATTTTAATTGGAGGTACATTGTACATGTAGGATTAAATGTAAATTGATTGTCTGAACCATCCCAACTTATGTCGTTAAATCACTTTTTCATGCTGTAAATATTGATTGAATATTTATCATAGTTGTGAAGACTGAAGAAATTGTTACAAGTACATATTTTCAACATGATTGCTCTTTGTGACGTCATTTTTTTTCAATGCATTGCATCACTAATTTACATGTAATGTCCCATAGTAAATTTCACTGACAAAGGTTTATATGGTTTTCTTTTGCATAAATAATTGTATTAAATTAATTTTTTTTTCAAATGCAGAATTGAATTTAAAAAACAATAAAAAAATTTTTTAAAGCCTTCAGATATAGAAATAAACAATTAATTTCTTAAAAAATATAGATTTTATTGTGGAGAAAAGGTGACGTCTATCCAAAAATGCAGCATTTTTACTTCAATTTTTTGTAAAAACGGATGTGGCCGCACTTTTGTAAGGTTATTTTTTCTCTTTAATATTAAAAATCATAGTGTATTTGTTCTTTCTGCAAAGTTTCGCATACATACTCGGATGCGGCCATATCGAAATATAGACTTGAAGAGGAGGAAAACGTCCAAAATAGGGGAATTCCAGAATATTAGACCGGTTTTGAATGTTATATAAATGAAAGGGCACGTGAGTTGAGAAAAATTTATTCCTATTTCACACACAGGGAAACCTTAACAGTTAATTGATACAATTCATAGAATGTAATCGTGCGTTTAATTTTTGCCGATTTTACAGGGCTGTACATCGGTCTTAACGTACCCAGCTCTTTCAGTATATGCACCATTCATGTATCAGCACAATTATGTGGCTTATTTAACTAATGAGATAATCCAGAAACTGATATTCATATTGAGCCTAACCTTATGAAAACAGATATACAGACAGACAAACATACAAGGTGAATAAGGTACACCTCCTACCACTTTATAACAATAAAATAATACTAACATAATGATGAACATATTGTAAAATTTCACATGTGTAAACTATGAGTTTTCTGACCTCTTTATCCTGTACATCTGCATCACTGATTCCTGGTATTGGGGACTTTGGAATCACTAAAAAGTGCACAGGGGCTTGTGGTGAAACATCTCGGAAAGCCAAGCACTAAAAATAGAATTACAGAAATAAGCAGAACATAATACAATCAAAGAAATCAAATTATGGTATGATGATCATCTTTATCAATTCGATAAAATAAATCTGCTTATGCTACAAAGTACATGCTTCAGATAAACTGTATCTTGGAAATTCATGGTTACCATGGTTACAGATTCTTTGGTTTCTGTATGTCTTGAACTATAATTTTTTTCCTTCCAATGTTACAAATCTCTGCAATCATGAATCAAAGATTCTACTTTCATGTAACTATTTTTTTTTTAAATTTTTTTTTTTTAACAAAACTATACCTATTCCTAAAATATAATTTCAAAATGGAGAAGTACAATCTCTATTACTGATAACGTTGATAACTAGGGATGAATCTTAGATTTTAGTTTTAGTGACTGCAGCAACCTCTTAAAGCAAAGCCTGAGCAAAGATAAATTTTGGACTGCTGGACATGGATCTAACTGATTTTTTTTTTTTTTTTTTGCAGCAACCCAAAGTCAAGAAGAAAAGTTAACAAATTATACAGTCAGACAGACTAACAGAATTTCATCAGGAAAGCTCACTTGACTGAGTTGAGTCTATGGTACGTGTTACAACAGCCAATATACATGTATGGCAAAAAGCTTAACAAACCAGTTCATCTTCATATATGATATCTGCTGGGATTGACTTATCGACAATCTTAGAGAAAATAGTTGGTTCCCTCGTTGTCTTTGCCCCCTGGGCCTTTTTAACCTCATCAGATAAGAGAGGTCTACTTGTTGTATAATTCTGCTGACAAAAAGAAGAGATTATATTTAGTTGTTATCATTGTGTTGCAGGCAAAAATAAATAAATAAATAAATAAAATAAAATAATTTTAGAATGTCAGTCATAAATGTACAGAGGTAGCAATTCAAAGATACATGTATCATAATTAAGTTTAGTACCTTTCATTTACATTAGAAAAAAATTTAGTTTTCCCTTACATAATTGAAAGTGGGGTGGCTAATTGAAAGTGGGGGGGGGGGGCTAAACCAACAAAAAAAGGTAAGCCCTAATTTTCAATGCCTATTATGTCTATCTTTGCAAAAAAGGGGGTCTACGCCCCCTAGCCCCCTCCCCGTTCCGAGGCCTATGCGTTAATCAGTTAAATCAAATTTACTTACTATCTATAATTAAAAGGTACTGTACAAACGCTTTATAATTTTGCAAAATAACTCTAAAATTAAATAAATCTGGAGGTATTATGTATGTACACTTACAACTAGAACATTTTACAATGGAACAAATTCATATTTTTAGCAATCATATTTACCTTTGACATATTTAATGTGTAACACTATTGATATCCCTGTACAAATTTTACAGGTGTAACCGATTTTAAACTTGTAACTGTCACATTGGTCAAGCATCCTGGAATGACGTGTTCTGAGCAGGTGAGCGGAAAATTTTCTTAAACTGGCCATGATCTTAACGTCCACTTTACACAGATATCATAGGGAGTAAAACATTTAAAAAAAAAAAAATTAAAATTGTAAACAGTAAACCGAAAGTACATGTTGTAAGCAATTATTGGTATTCCGATCCCGATTTAGGTGCAGCTTGACATGGTCTTCACCGTCTTGTGGGAAACACGGGAAAGACGGGAATTTTAATACAATAAAAACGATCAGTAGCCGTCTCATTTTTATCCAAGCACGTGTGGTAAGGTAAGGATGACTCATTCCGAGTGTTAATTATGTCTCTGTCCTGTTCAGTACGAAAAAAAAAACTCATTTACAGTGTAAAGATATTATTCAGTTATTGTCAATATTAACAATTGATTGATCTGAAAATCTTGTATAGTGCAAAATTTTAGTATCAACACTATTAATTAATCATATTCTACATGCATGTATAAGATATATATTGCCCCTGCTGTGACATGTGTGGGTCAGAATGAGATGCAAATTATGACTATCAGCCAAAGGCACTTGTTTCCAGCTGGTAGCTAGACAATAGAATTATTTTTACAGTGAGGGTCATTTTTTTCTTTTTTACTAGAAGTTAAAATATTACTGTTTTTTAAAGGACTGAACTGTGTATTTCCATGTCAAAATTTTCTGGATGATTGATCTGTCATATATTTGCACATCAGAAAATTCTACACTGGCCATTTTCTGATCTCTCATCTCCCATTTCTGCACTAGCTTTCACTTACAAAATGTGAAGCTTGTCATGTCACAATACTTGAACAAACTCATGTGCTTCAACATCTAAGGAAAAATATGTTCATGTTTTATGTCAATACAAGAATTATATATAACAAATTGGAGTGAAAAAAAAATACTTTGGCTTTGTGAATAAGGTTAATTGACATTAATTAATGATTAGGCATTAATTAATTTTGTAGGTAACCTATGTCTCTTAAGGTACCTGAGACAAATGAAGCAGCCAGAAGTCGAAAAAGGACAGCAAGTGATCTTAAAGAGGATAAAGATGCAAGCTTGGTAATAATAATGGGTTTGTCAGCTATTACTTTAGACAAAGGCTTAAGGTATGTCACTCGTCAGCCTTTTAGAAAATTTCAGTCAGAACCTCTTACTTAAAAACTATTTATTACAATTCAATCTTTATAACATATTTAAATTAAACAATGTAAAATGTTCAACATTCAATTAAAAAACTGCTAGGAAATTCACAAAGAAGCAAGATTTATAAGGGACTATTTCTTTTGGCGGAAGGATATTTAGCAGAAAATTCTGCAAATCTACACATTTATTAAAGTTAATATCTAGGAACTTGAGCCTCACATACTTTTACTCAGAGAATATTTTCCCTTATGATATGCCTGGAATATTAAATATAGGTCTCAATTTATATTTTTATAACAAAATTTACACCTTCGCTCAACAAACATTGCCAAGAAATGAAGATATATTAAGGAAGTCGAGATAAAATTTACACAGTTTTTTGCCTGAAAATTGCATATTTTGACCAATATTTCAAAATTTACATCACTGACCCCAACTTTTTCTTTCATTATTTTAAACTACTCGATACTTTTGACCGATCAGCACTTAAGTCGTAAAAAGTTTGATACAAGAAAATATTCTATTAAGACTATTGCCTATTTAGATATTTAATACCCCAAATATGAGATTTTTTTAGTGCAAAAAGGTCACACAATAATTTACGCGCATTAATTTGCATGATTTGTTGAATGATAAATATTATTCAAACTATTTTACGTAAAATAAGATTATGGTTATTGCCATGGTTACATCTTATAAAATATGATAACGGTTAAAGTGATTAACCAAAGAATTACAATTTAAGTGCAAAAAGGTCAACTTAATTGTACCGTAGCTCAGTTAGATGCACACTGACCCCCCATTTTCTCTGTGATTTTGAGTCATACTATTTGAGTACTTATCCAAAATATACTTCTCAAAAAATCCTTGATATAACAAATTTCACGAGTGACATACCTTAAGTGCATGAATTACCTTAGACAAAGGCTTAAGACAGTTACCTTAGACAAAGACTTAAGTGAGTTACCTAAGACAATTAAGGCTTAACTAAGTCAGTTAACTTAGACGGAGATTTAAGTGAGTTACCTAAAACAAAGGCTTAAGCTAGTTACATGTACCTAAAACAAGGCTTAAGTCAGTTACATTAGACAAAGGCTTAAGTCAGTTACCTTAGACAAAGGCTTCAGTGAGTTATCTTAGACAAAGGGTTAAGTCAGTTACCTAAAACAAAGGCTTAAGTGAGTTACCATAGACAAAGGCTCCAGTGAGTTACCCTAGACAAAGGCTTATGGAGGGACTCTTCTCAAATTCATTGTTTTTAAAATTTAACCATATTTTTACAGATTCAAGAAGACATTATCACTAAGTAAGAAGCGATGAATTTAAATTTGACCGATTTATTTTAGGAACAAGGTCAATTGAAGTTCATTAGCTTTTTTCTATTAAAATTAATGGCATCATTTAAAATCTTTTTCTTAAGAACCACTGTGCTAGAAAATATGAAACTTATGTGGAATCATCCCTAAGTAGTGGTGGGGACACAATGGAGGATCAATTTGACATATATATAGATATGATAAATTTTTAAAAATCTACTTCTCAAGAACAGCAAATCCCTTTAAGTTAGTGGACATACATGTATTTATAAGGAAGCATCCACAGGTAGTGTAGAATCAAGTTTGCTCAAGTCATGATCCCCCGGGGTGGGGTGGGGCCACAATGGATGATCAAAGTTTTACATAGGAATATATACATAAGGAAAATCTTTGTTCAAATCATGACCCCCGGGGTAGGGTGGGGCCACAATGGGTAATCAAAGTTTTGCATAGGAATACATAGGAAGAAATCTTTAAAAATCTTTTTCTCAAGAACAGCAAAGCCATGGTTGGTCATAATAATATAGAAGAATTCTCAGGTAATGTAGATTAAAGGACAAGATAGGCTAAGACCCCTTTTTGGCCCCCAGTTCAGAGTGTCCTTTAGAATGAAGCAACAGTTTATCAGATAAAAACCTGTTGTCACCCCTGCTACAAAATGAGTATTGGTTCTAAGTTATGGGATACATAGAGGTCACAGAAAGGTCAGAAAATATGTCAATTTCCGAATTTTCTTATTTTTATGCAAATTTTTATCGATTTTACAGCACATTTTGGTTCAGAATACATAGAGCACAAGCTTCCCTATCTACCAAATTTATATATTTCATACACTAGTATCAGATGCCTCTTATGTATAAAAATCTCAGATAGGCAAGCATGTGCTCTATGTTTCCCGAAGTGAAATGTATCTCAAATTTGACCAGAATTGAGGAAATTCGGGAAAATGTCCTACTTTTGCACCCTCTTGTGGCCTCTGTGTAAGCTTTGAATCAAAAATAGTGTTGGTTTTAAAGCAAGCATCATTTAAATTTCTTAACTACAAACTATCATAATTTTAACTGTGTTCTGATTTTTATCAAATAAGGGGCCAGATTGGGCCGTTACCATACCCTGTCCTTTGTTAAAATCATGACCCCTCAGAAGTAAGAGGGGCCATAAACAGGAGATAATATTTATATCAATGAATATAATTAAAGTATATATATCAATAAAAATTTTCTTCTTAAGAACGACAAAGCCATTACATGTATATTAGTCATACTAATTCAGAAGCATCTAAGGTAGTGTAGACTCAACTTGTTCAAGTTTGTTCAAATCATAACCCCCCCCCCCTCCACCTTCCATCAGGACCACTTCTATATTTGTTAAACTTTTCAATACTGAACTAATATCTGCTTTTTCCTAGCCAAAGTGCTCAGGTGAGCGATGTGGCCCATGGACCTCTTATTTATGATTGAAGCAGAACTAAAAGGTTAATTTTTTTCTTATTTGAGCTTACTAAAGAATCTTTGCTTATGATTGTAAGATATGCTGTAAAGGTTAATTACTTTTGGCTGTGTATTATGCTTAGCACCTGTTTAGTGGAAAGCAGGATTAGCTAAATCAATTACGTAAATCCAAATGTTTTTATGAAATTCTTAAGCAAAACTCTTCTGTGAAAACAAAGTGGAGTGAGATTTTACAGGTCGATGATAAAGAATGGAAAAAATTTCACAAAATACCCTTCAAAGTGACAAAAGACTGCAAACTCCAATGGTTTCAGTATAGAATTACAAACAGAATTTTAGCAACAAATTCATTTTTGTTTAAAATTAAAAAAAAAAATGACTATAAATACTACAATTTTTGTCACTCGGAAGAAGAAACAATAGAACATCTTTTATGGGAAGGTGATTATACACAATTACTTCTAGAAGAATTTGTAATGTTTCTTGAAGATAAGACTGGTCTAGTGATAAATATTACAAAGAAATCCTTTATTTTAGGTTATATAGAGATTTATCCCATGTTTACCCCTTTATCCCGTGGATATGACTCATTGGATAAATTTTTCATAATCCACAGTTGTGACGTCACAATGGTTTTTGCCTTAGCGCGATGAAGTAAAATAAAGTGGAGTCCTATATAAAACAGTGTAAAACATTAGTTGTGAAGTATTAAACATGGGATAAAAAGAATCTCCCATGATTTGTAGTTGGATATGACTTTTATCCAACTCGTTGTGTGTTTTTATCCCCTTGCCAAGGCTTGGGGATAAAAAACACACAACTCGTTGGATAAAAATCATATCCAACTACAAATCATGGGAGATCCTATATTTATACTGGTATTCAAAATACTATTATCCTTTGGCTTAAGTATTATATTTATACAGCAAGATTTACTGAGGAACCTTTGAATTTATGTGCTGCAATATCACAAATGAATCTTTATTATGAAACACACAAATTTATTTATTATAAAAATGGTGGAA